CCTGCGCTGCAGACAGCTGGAGAGAGCTTGGCCGGGCAGATGAGCCACTCCAGGTCTTTCTACAAATGCTTAACCGGCTACTATAGAATCGGCAGCCGGAGTGAATAAACACTCCCGTCTGTACACACGTAAGCCAACGGTGCACGGGCCAGCATCGTCACCCGCACGCCCCGCGCTGTGCTGTTCTAGCCGGCAGTTAGGTCAGATGGTAGAAAAGGCTCTGAACGCTGAATACAGTGCATGGGCCACAGCTGCCCCCACCACCCTCTGAGGAACCCCCGGCGAGAGGCCCTTCCCCCAGGTGCTCCCCAGCATTTATTTCCAGACACCCAGTGCCCAGTAGAAGGCGGCTTCCCTGCACCTCGCTCCCCTGCCCCGGCTCCAAAACAGTGCAGAGCAAGCGGCACCTTCAGCAATTTAGCCGACCCAAGCTGAGGTCCCTCCTTAGCGGAGGGTCCGTGATGCTGCTGCAGGGGATTCCTGACCTGGCAGGGGGTGGAGATGAACAGGAAGGCGCCAGGCAGCTGGCTGGGTCCCCTCTTCATGTCGCATTAGCCAGCGCTTGCCTCTACAGGCCTGATTAATTGCAGCCATAATCCTTCATTGCTCTCACTCCTCAAGGCAACAAGAAAGAAATGGCTTCAATTTGGGGAAAAAATACACATTTATTTGTCTTTGACCTGAGCCTTCAACATGCCATGGTAGCGGGGGCTTTGGCTGTGCCCAGCCTCCTCTGGGCGAGGACTTGGCCGAGGAGACTTGGAGCAAGGCAGGGTACAGACTCCTGCCTGACACTAAGGTGGGGGCAGGGGGCGGAGCGGGGAGAGGGATGCGTGGGCCCCAGGAAGCAGGAAGTGGGGCTGGCTGGGATCTCATAGCCCTCTCCGCCCTCCTGTGCCTTTCTGTGCCTCGTGCAGTATTTCCTAACTTTAAAATTAGCATCCAGTCCTCTTCATTCAGTGCTTTTGAATGATGTGTTTTTAATTTTTTTAATTGTGCTTAAAAAAAAACCCTTTATCGTAAAATTAACCATCTTCACCATCGTCCCGTGTACCGTTCAGGAGGGTTAGGTTCAGGCACGCGGTTGTGCAGCGGGGTCTCCAGAGCGTTGAGCCGCTCCCGTCCTCCCTCCTGCCGCCCCGGAACCCGCCACTCTGCTTCTGTTTCTGAGTCCGCTGCTTTAGATCCTCCATGTGAGCGGAATCGATCCTTTACAGGTTCGGACTCATACAGTGTGTTCTCACGATGGTCAGGGCGGTCTTAGTAAGACAGAAAGACGAGGCTGAGCGAAGAGATAGCTGTTCCTTTGCCCCGGGCTCCAGAGGAAGGACTGTTTCCCTGACTGCCCAGCACCTCCTTGCCTCTCCGCCCTGGGTGAGAGGTCCGTGGCGGTTAATAATGAACTCGGGGTGGCTTGTCTGCCTGTTTTTTTATTGCAGCTTCACTTTCCAGCAAACACTGCCTTCTTCCTAGAGGCATGTGTGACCCCTGCCACACTCCGTAACTGGGGTGGAATGAGAAGGAAATGATTTTTCGCCTGCTTTCGGAAGCGAGGAGGAGACTGAAGTAGGGGTGAGACACGGACCCCCACCAGGACAGATCTCGGGTCTCAGCCTCAGGTCTTAGTCCCCGTTCTGACCTTCCTCCCACCCGAGGCATCTGCCTAAATAGCGTCGACGTTGATTTTACCGGGGAAATCCAGTTCCCTCTGGTATAGGAGTGTCTTTGTGACGTGTTAACGTTGTGAATTATGAATTGATTCACTGTGTTTATTTTAAGAAGTCATCTCTGTCGGTGGGAAGAGTTACTCCCCATGGAGTTCCGCCGTCGAGGAGAAGGTGCCCTGTCCCCCGGGCTTCCTGAGATCAGTCATCTTAGACATTTTCCGGGCTCCCCAGGCTCCTTGTTCATCTCTGGCCCTTCAGCATGGCAGTAATTACCCTGGATGGCAGAGGAATTGTTCCCAGATAATATCCTTAGAAATAGGGAAATTAGGAGCTAATTTCAGGCCATTGCAAATTAATGAGCATGTTCTTTGTGGAGTGCTGTTGCTGTAAACCTTTAAAAAGTGATAAGCGGGAGATATTTAATTCCTTTATCTGTGGAGCTCCGTAGAAACCCTGCAAAGCACAGGCGATTGCTATTATCTGGCCAGTTGCTAGGGTGGCTCTTTTATCTTCCTTCTCGGCTTTATTAATTAAATTTCTGCCGGGGCTTGGTTGGCATTGGCAGCCTCTCGTGGGGTGCGTGTGGGGGCGGGGAGGAAGTGAGGTTCTAAGTGACATGACCAGGTCCTAGGACACCATCCGGGCTGCGAGGGCCGCAGACCAGGGCAACGCCGGCCCACCCAGGGCAAATTTCAATCATTGTACTGTTGATATTTGGCTCTGTTGACTAATGAGTTTGCCGACCACTGACCCAGACTGACGCCTCCTCCAGGCACAGCCAGGGCTGTTCTTTAAGGCGTTGCCGGCAAGCAGTCCACTCCTTTGGCCCCCAAGTGACTTTCTGTGTCTCCAGTCTTACTCCTTAGAGGGGAAGGTGGGCCCCCGGGAGGAAGGGAAGCCTGAGGTGTTCTGGGCACTGGCCCGCCCGCTGGGTGTTGATGCATTTATTTTGTTGGTCCCTCTGCATGGGGCACTTCCCCTCCACCAGCACCGTCTCCACCCCCCGCCAGGGCTGCACCGACATTTATGTTTGGGGTGGTCCTTACAGAGCCCATTGGAAGGACTGGCATCCTTTTACGTAAGACTGAGGAAGTGCCGTGTCCACACTGAAGAATGAGCGAGGTGAAGATTTAAGGTCACGGAGAAGGCGGAAGCCTGAGCCCCAGCCCCGGGCCCTTGTTGGTCATCACCACTCTCCATCTCAAATACCTCCTCTTCTGGAAGCTCTTCCCATTCACAGCCCTTCCGGGTCATTGCTTCCTTCTCTTCCCAGTGACCCGTTCACTCTTCTCTAAAGTAAGAATGTGGTCTCGGGAATCAGACTCTGTGGGTCCAAGTACTGGCTCTTCTGCCTCCTGCTGCTCTGCCTTCCCCCTCCCCCCAGGGATCCAGCTGTTTGCAAACTTTTGAGCTGATCAGCAAACGACAGAGTTGATAAAGTATTATTAGTTCAAACACATCCATTTTTTAAAGTTAAAACCCAGCAGAGACATCAGCGACGATACAAGACAGTTCACAGAGTGAGATGACTGGAACCCGCACACAGAAGAAGGTTGAGCTCCATTAGGGACCAGAGATTAAAATTCCAACAAAAACATTATTCATGTGCCAAGTCACCAGAGGCTTTTAGAAGTTGAAAGCCAGAGAGCTGTGATGCATGAACATTCCCAGTGAGGGAGGACCAGGGAACACAGGGGAACTTGTAAGATGTCTGATAGCTGAGTTGTGGTGGTCCACACACTCTATACATTTGTCAAGAACCCATCCACGTAGCCCTGGCTGGTGTGCTCAGTGGTTAGAGGGCCGGCCCCCGCACACTGAAGGGACTCCGGTTCAATTCCCAGTCAAGGGCACGTACCTGGGTTGCAGCCTAGATCTCCGGCTGCGTGCAGGAGGCAAACAATGTCTCTCTCACATCGATGTGTCTCTCTCTCTCTCTCTCGCCTCTCTTTTTCCCTCTCCCTCCTTCCCTTCCACTCTCTCTAAAAATCAGTGGGAAAAAATGTCCTCTGGCGAGGATTAACAACAACAAAAACCTCATAGAAGTACACCCTTCAATTTGCTGCATCTTATTATATGTAAACTCTAAGCCAGTGACCATGAACGTAGTTAAAAAGTAAAAATCGTCCTCACCCAGGATTGAGCGAACAGGACACGGCTGTGCATTGGGAGGCTGGGCCGGGGGTGGGTGATAACATGAGTTGGTTCCTCCTTTCTGGAAGTTACTTTGCTTCTGCCTTTTAAGAAACGATGCTCTGAGGTGTGTCTCTCCGTCTATGATCACATCCTATGAGAGAATCATGAAGTCAAAGATGTGCCTGCAGTATTTGTCACAGCATCACTAGCTGCTGAAAACTGGAAAAAGAGTTAAAATGTTCCTCAACAGGAGATGGTTAAACTGTGACTCGTCTGCGTGCGGGGCACGGCCAGCCCTTGACGAGCCTCTGTGTGACCTGGGGAAAGGCTGGCCTCTGGGTGGAACAACCTCTCCCAGCTCGTAGGGGGTCCACCAGCTACATTTCCACGCCTCCTGCCCCCTCACCCGGGCGCCCTGTGCACTCCTCGGGGCAATCCGTGCAGTGGCCGATGGGGCAGATGCTAAAACAGATGCCTCTGAGGAACATGCCGTGGAGAGTTAAGTGATAAAAATCGGTCTCATTTTACATGTAATCCCAATGTGCTGAACAACGTAAAATCGGTGAAAGGAAACCTACCGAAATGTAGCTGGTGGTCAGAGGGAGTGGTGGACTCCCGGGTGATTTCTCTGTTCCATCTGCCCTTCCTGAATTTTCTGCGTCCTTACTCTCCTGATTGAGCAGGACTCTGCCGTGCCGGTGCCTGCACCAGCGGTCTCCAGGCTCAAGAGCAGGACCCGGCACTCAGGGTGGAGCGGGTGGGAAGGGAAGGGAAGGGATTCCTTCAGTCACAGGAAGCGGCTCTCACTGTGTCCTCTCCTATTTCCCTCGCAGGTTCGAGACCTTCGAGGTGAACAGCTTTGAGCAGTTCTGCATCAACTACGCGAATGAGAAGCTGCAGCAGCAGTTCAACTCGGTGGGCTCGGCGTCTGGACCTGGGGTTTCAGGGTGGGGGCTCTGTCTTCCCTAGAGCGACGGCCCGGCCACTTCTCCATCAGGGCCAGGGGCTCTGGCTCTGCCCTGACCTTCCTAGGGTTCCTGATGGCACCCCAGCTTTAGGAAGGTGCTCCCCGCTGCTCAAGAGGAGGTCTGAATGGGGCAGTGGGGTGATGGCTTCGACCCCAGCCCTCCTGAGCCTGGGCGTCTGGGCCGTTTGAGAATTGCCAGCAGCATGAGGCTTCTTGTGGCTGGTTGGGGTGTGGCGTTGCAGGCGATGATTCAAATGTCGTGGAGAGGGGCTCACCTGGGAGGGCGGGCCACCGGCTAAGCGTTCTTCCCTGCAGTCATGCTGACTGAGACCCCGTGGCTGCAGCTCAGGGCAGGCGGATGTGAAGGCCTGCGTGCAGCTCCCTGACCCTGACCTTCGCTCCCACCCTAGCATGTCTTCAAACTGGAGCAAGAAGAGTACATGAAGGAGCAGATCCCCTGGACCTTGATTGACTTCTACGACAACCAGCCTTGTATCGACCTCATAGAGGCCAAGCTGGGCATCCTAGACCTGCTGGATGAGGAGTGTAAGGTAAAGCCAGGAGTGTAAGGTCAGCTCCAGGCTGGGGTGGGACAGGGCAGCTGGATGGTGCGGGGCCGTGTGGGTCCCAGAGCTGGAGTTCGCCGAGAGAAGCCCTGTCCGTTCTGCACACCGGAAGGTACCAGTAGGTCCTGTGACTGGCAAATATGCTGCCCCTTTTGGCAAATACTGGGTGGCATGATTGTCACGATATGACGGTGGCATGGATTCGATGCCCTAGTGTCCTAGGCTCAGAGGGAGGTTGGGGTTCTCCGTAGCTGTGCCAGGTGGCTTGTGAGGGACAGAGAGGCTTGGCCTGGTGGCAGGTGAGACCCATGATTTCCACGCGGAGCTTTTGTGGGCTCCTGTGGACTCCACCAGATGAGGGCAGAGCTGGGACCCAGGCTCCCTCCTGACCAGGGCCCTCTTCCCGGGACCTTGACAGGAGAGTGTAGGCATTTGTATGAAGCCACGTGTACATTTACCTCCCCCGCTAGACTTTTAAAAAGTACTTTTCTTTAAAACGATTGCCAAGACTGGAATCAAAGATAAATAAAGGCACAACAGTTTTGCTATTTGGATAGTGCGTGTGTGTGTATCTTACAAATACAAATTAAACATGAAAAAAACTCTACTTCAAAAAAACTCCTAACCATTCAAGAAGACCCATCTCACCATTCAGAAGTCAATGGTAAAATATAGTTGGTTGTACCTTCTTTTTTAAAGGATTCGATTTGCTGCATATTCCAGAGTTGCTGATAGCCGCGGCCTAGATTTTATCAGGACACAAGTCTGGCTTTCTTTCTCCTGTGCCCGTTTTAAATCTACTGCTATGGGCAGATTTTTGGAGATAAGTGCCTTCATTCCATCTAACCCTGCCTTTGGGCTGCCTTCAAAACTCTGTTGTCCGACAGGAGAGCATAAGAGGGAAGAACACGGCTCCGGAGCCAGCCTGTCCTGAACTGAACCCAGCTCTGCCGCTTCCCAGCTGTGTGTCCCTGGGCAAGTTGCCTGCCCTCTCTGTCTCAGCTCCCTTGTCTATAGAATGTGTCTAAACGTAGTGCCCAGTTCATAGGATTATTGTGAGGATTAAATGAGTTGCTCCATCCAAAAGCTATAGGAAAGTCGCCGGCAAATAATAAGCACTGTGGGCATTCGCTCTTAGTATTCTCTGAGAATCTGCATCGGGAATTCTTGCTGCCCCGCATTTTTAGTCGAGGATGGGGCGTCAGCAGAGAGACTGACCCTCATCAGGAAATATGTGTGTACATGACCTTGCTCATTGGTTCATGCCCGTCTGAATTAGTGCATCTGTAGGATTATGAAGTCCAGTTTCGTTGTCAAGACAAGATGATTTTAATGTTTTTATTGGCTTTTTAGAGAGAGAGGAAGGGAGAGGACAGAGAGAGAGAAACATCAATGAGAGAGGAACGTCCTTGATCGGCTGCCTCCTGCCCGCCCCCTACTGGGGATCAAGCATGCAACCCGGGTATGTGCCCTGACTGGGAATCAAGCCAGTGTTCAATGGGTTCATGGGTTGATGCTCAACCACTGAGCCACACTGGCCAGGCACCATGATTTTGATCCCACCAAATACAAGTGTTGACTTAGGTGGGGCTGCTCATCACAGTGCTGCCCTTCCTGTCGCCCCCAGTCTACCAGCGCTCATCCCCTGGCCGCCCTGCCAAGCCACCCCCCTCCGCCCCCCATACCTGGTGGTTCTAAATATAAAACAGTATATATATAAAATGCTGAATTCGATACATTTTATTTTGTTTGCCTACCACAATTCGTAACCTCCTTCAAGAGAAAGTTTGCTTGAATTTCCTACGGCACTTGGCCCTGGATGTTCAATACTAGCTATACCACATTGAACACTGAGAAAAATCTCCTTGCTTACAAAGTATTTGAGAAATTCGTTCTCATCTGTGTAAGCATTTTCCATGTGGCACAGATTGCATTAATTTACTAAACAAAGCTCTTTTTCAAGAGCTAGTGCAAGGGTCACCTTCAGTCCTGCCTGGTCCAAATGCGCAACCTAAACTAATGAAGGGCGGGCAAGTCCATAGGTCACCCCTACCTGGGGTGCGGGGGTGTGCACCGGTGTTTGGGGTGACAGAGGAGGGGCACCTTCTCGACGCCAGGGTTCCCATTATCCTTGACTGTTGGAATGGTGGTTACAGTGACTCTTACATTTTCAACAAAGCAAGCTGCTGTGCTATTTTTGAAGCCACCTCGAAATGTAGTGAGAGGGGCAGCATCCCTAATGTAGGGGAAACTCTGCATCTACAGTTAAATTTGGGGGAGCAGAGATCAGGACCAAGTAGCTTAATCACTAGGTACTTCGCACCCAAAGTGCGGCCGGAACTCAGCCAGCTTACAGTTTGTAGTGACAAGACAGTATGCAAAAACCAGCGATGAGCCGTGTTAGGTGGTGTATGTATGAGAGAGCTTAACTGGGAGCAATTCCAGAGTGAGCTGGAGCGGTCAGGCAGGGCTTGGGGAGAAGGGCAGCCTGGAGCCGGGCCGGGCAGAGGCGCTGAGAGGGCTTTCCTGCCGCCTGTGGGCCTGCGTGAGCAGAGCGGGCGCTGCGGGTGGCCGGGCGTTTTGGTGACACTGGTTCCTGGCCTGCCCAAGGGGAGGAAACCTCTTCAGATTTGTTCCTTGAGTTGTGACTTTCCTCCGTGACCTTGGCCTCCATCTTCCACAGGGGTGGGCAAACTTTTTGACTCGAGGGCCACAGTGGGTTCTTAAACTGGACCGGAGGGCCGGAACAAAAGCATGGATGGAGTGTTTGTGTGAACTAATATAAATTCAAAGTAAACATCATTACATAAAAGGGTACGGTCTCTTTTTTTTTTTAGTTTTATTCATTTCAAACGGGCCGGATCCGGCCCGCAGGCCGTAATTTGCCCACGGCTGATCTTCAAGCTCTTCTAACCCTTCCAGCGTCTACCAGCCAGCAGGGTCTTCCGGGCTCAGTGTGGGAACATACTGTGGCAGGGTCCTACGTGCCTGCGGTTGAATCTTGTTTTCCATGTCCACGTAGGGTCGTGAGGTCCACTTCCTGGCGGACTCCATCCCCTGGCCTCAGCTCTTGGCTTCCTTTGTCCTCTTCACGGAGCCCCCGGTTTTGTGGTTCTGCAGGTCCCCAAAGGAACTGACCAGAACTGGGCCCAGAAGCTGTACGACCGGCACGGGGGCTGCCAGCACTTCCAGAAACCCCGCATGTCCAACACGGCCTTCATCGTGGCGCACTTCGCCGACAAGGTGGGTCTGCTCCCTGCCCCAGACTCGGGGTTCTGGCCTGTGAGGGAGCTGCCGCAGCCTAAAGTCTCTTAGGTGGGGTGCCCCCCCCCCCCCCCCAACTGTGTGTGCGCCACCCCGTCACCACATGGCGGGTGGGTGGCCACGGTTTCCCAGGTGTACGCCTGACAATCCTTTGCTGAGGTCTCTCTCCTGGGAATACAGCAGCGTAACAGAGCCTGAGTCGGCCCTCCTGGAGCTTGAGAGAGAAGCGGAAGGGGAAACAGAACTGCTCTTCCCAGGAGCCTCCTTTCCCAGGAGCTGGTGGAGACGGGATTTTTCTCCATAGATTTCTGTTCCGGATGCACTGACCCAGTGCTGCCCAAGTTCCATGTGCACGAAGGTGCCTGCCGTCTGTTCACACGCAGGTTCCAATTCAGCAGGTCTGGAGTGTGGCCGACAGCTGCGTTTACACCCCCAAAAGGAAGCCTCCTCAAAAAAGGGATTTCTTTTGCAAACAGTTTGTTTTTCCACAGAAGGGATGCCCAGTTCCCTCTGCATAGGTCCTGACCACGTCTTGGTTTGCATTTTAAATGGGAGCAGCTGTGGGTGGGGGGGTCCCTGTTCACACTGTGTGGGCTTGGGCCCGACGACACCCCCCAGGGAAGCTGACCAGCCGCAGCACTGACTCCTGCGTGCTTCCCCTGTGGCCCAGGTGGAGTACCTCTCAGACGGCTTCCTGGAGAAAAACAGGGACACGGTGTATGAGGAGCAGATCAACATCCTGAAGGCCAGCAAGGTAACGCGGGAGAAGCCGGGGACAGCCAGTGTCCACAGCCAGGGGACAGCCAGTGTCCACAGCCAGGGGACAGCCAGTGTCCACAGCCAGGGCCTTCAAGACCGTGAGATACTGAGAATGTAACTAGGGAAGCCCGATGCCGGCCTAAGGGGCCACAGTGTAGCTAGTTGCTTTCTCAGCTGTCAGAGAGCCGTGAATACTTAGTAAAGAAATGCCTCTTCCAGCCTGATGCGTTTTAGACAGTAGGGTATGGAGGCTTTTCCCTCCCAGCTTTGGCTTACGAAATATTAAACCTCAAACGAGAATATTTGTCCTCTGAAGATTTCCGATTCCAGGGCAGCACTGAGTATAGGTCAGAGGGCGGAGCGGTGGATCGAGTGTTTGACAGCAAGTGCCAGGTGACAGGCGTCGTCCTGGGCAGTTTCCTGGCACGCAGTCCGGGTGCCATCTCTCTGCTCCATCTCAGTAGAGGGATCTCGAGGCCAGCATGGCCCAGAGGCCAGGTGAACCGCGTGGGCGGTGACAGGCCCTGGGGTCCGAGAGTCACGGTGGGGCTCAGAGGGCCAGCTCCTTTCTGCGTCTCACCCAGGAAGGAGACCTGCTGCTTCCTGTGCTGGCGTCTTCCTTACAGGTGACACCCACATTCCATTTTGAGCAAATATGTTTGCTTTTTATTTTTTTAATGTGTTTTTCGTTATTTTTTATTTTTAATTAATTTTTATTTAAGGGCTTTATTGAGATATATTCGACATACTATAAAACACTTGCTTTTAAAGGCATTTGGTTTAATTTGCTTTCTGTTTAAAATCAGTTTGTGCTGGGCTGAGTAGCTCAATTGGTTAGAGCATTGCCAAGGTTTCTGGTTCAATCCCCAGTCAGGGCACATACGAGAATTAACCAATGAATGAGAATCATTTGCTTGGCTGCCTCCTGCACATCCCCTACTGGGGACTGAGCTCACAACCTGGGCATGTACCCCGACCCGGAATCAAACCATGACCTCCTGGTTCATAGGTTGATGCTCAACCACTGAGCCATGCCAGCTGGGCAATAAAAAAACCAAAAAACTTAAAAAAAAATAAAGTAAAATAAAATCAGTTTGTGCTGGTAGTTGAAAAGCTTCTAATGATATTTGGAATAAACAGACCATCCCCTTTCCAATGTAGGAGGATGAAATACTAAGACTTTTTCTCCAAAGTCCATTTAAAACCCTTTTATGTGCAAATATTTCTTTCTTTAAAAGTGTAGATTCCCCCCCCCCCCC